GGTAAAGGAGATGAAATCAACATGGTTTTCTTAGGTAGATCAACATGCAGTTCTTGGAGCTGGAGAATGAATCAACTTCCTCGAACACATGAGGAAAAGATAGCAGTGTGTAATGCGGAATGGCTGAAGAAGAGATATTTAGCACTGTCTTCCAATGCTTTTATAAGAAGTATTTTTATAAGTATGTCATCACTTTTAGTAATTTATAAATGATCATCTTTTTTTATTCAAGATATATTTAGGAAAAATTGAGAGACACATGGACTTTCCCACCTGTATTTCCATAGCACTATATGTTTGCCACTTTTGAACTGATTTTTTTTTTCAGATCAGCTCCAGTCTTAAAAGAACCATAAAACTACTTCTATACAGTAGTGATGATGGAAAGAGAAGGAATTGTGTTGTAAGGGGGAAGTTAACAATCCCAATAGTCAGAATTGAATAGCCGCAATTAAAAAGGAGATGGTAAAGATAAATGGACTATGGTAATGTCTTCTGGAAGATCTCCAGAACATGTTTCTAGATGTTTCACTTCCCCCAATATTTCAGAGTAATGCAGTTATTACTTCTCCATGTTACTAAGCTGGAAAGAATGGCAGTTAAAGGGAAGGAGAGTGTTGCATTATCATATTTTTACCTAAGCCATTATCTTCTTCTACTTTCTGTTGCTATCAATAGCATATCTGAGACTAGGTAATATTTATAAAGGAAAGATGTGTGTATAGTTTGCATTCTGGATGTTGAAAAGTCCAGGAGCACAGAACTGGCATCTGCTCAGGTCTGTGAGAGCCTTGTGTGGTGTCATAACATGACAGAGAAGTGAAAACACTGTGAAATGCTTGTGAAGAGACAAACAGAAGGAGACTTGCTTTATAACAGTCTGCGTTCATAGTAATGAATCCAGTCCTGTGTGAACTCCATCAGCCCTCTTAATGACCTAATCACCTCTTGCAGGTCCTGTCACTCAACATCAGCACAATAGCAATCCAGTTTCAAAGTGAGTTTTGGAGGGGAAAACCATATTTAAACTACATCAGCTATAATTCATTTTGAGGACTAGAATAAATCAGTAAGGACTACGAGTTTCTAAAGGAGGAGGAATTAAAAAAATTATAATAGCTCTTTTGAAAGCAAGAATTAAATAGAAAACATATATGTACTACGTATGAGTATAGATTTGCATACTTAATTTGATTTAGTCTTTGTGAGAGAGTAAGAGAGGAGAATGAGTATGCTAGGTCCACTGATTCAAGGTTCAAAGGTTTTACCTATTAACCTAGTCTTTGCTTCAAAACTATAAGTTCTGGAGCTTGACAACCATAGTACTTCAAACTTGCTTAAAAGCAGGTGACATAGGGGCAGGGGATTTAGCTCAGTGGTTCCGCCATCTTCCTCGCAAGTGCAAGGACCCAAGTTTGATCCCCAGTACCAAAAAAACCCAGGTAACATAGTGGCTGTTAGGATTACATTGTTCATATATAAGAGTGTCTATTCTAGCTGGGAAGGTAGCGCATGCTTATAATCACAGTACTCTGGGAGGCTGAGGCAGGAGGACTGCAAGTTCTAGCTCAGCCTGGGTAACATAGTGACTTAGTGAGACGCTGTCTTAAAATAAAAAATGAAAATAAAAGACTGGGGATTTAGCTCAGTGGTTCTGCCACCTGGCTCGCAAGTGCAAGGATCTGAGTTCAATCCCTGGTACCAAACAAAAAATAAAAAGAAAAAAAGGAAAGAAAAATAAAAAAGGGCTAGGGAATGTAGCTCAGTGTGATGGTCTTGGGTTCAATCCCCAGTACTGCATAAACAAACAAATAAACAAACACCAAAAATGTATATATTTAATTTAAGAATACAGAAAGCTTAGCTAGAAGAAAAATGTTCTCTATGCAGTATGTGCAGTTTTTCCAAAAGTGGCCTCTACTATCTAGTTTTTGAATAAATTTCACATTCTATGAGACAAGGATTTCTCCCCTATCTGTAGTTACTATTGTATAAGTAAAAGGAGATAAAATAACAAAATGTATGCTATTAACACCAGTAAGATTGAGGGGAGAAGAGATGGAAAATTGAGTTGAATCATATATTTCTATTGAAATAGCTCATCAAAACCATAGAATATTAGACCTTAAATATTGTGTAGGCCAACCCCTTTAATTTAATGATGAGGATACCGTGGCATGAAGAAATATCAAGCTGGCTGAAAATTTATCTCACTAATCAATCTTTAACAGATTAACTGCTTTGTTTCTTCAAAAATAGCCATCCTGTACAATTTTATAGCCTTCCATTGATAGACATCCAGCCTATTATATAACAATGAAGTAGACTAAATGAGATTACTAATATGAAAATATTTTATATAGTAGGAACTGATTTATGCTGTGATAACAAAATGTCCATTTTTTTCTTTCTTCCATACTGCACTCATTTCATATTTCCTTCTTTATGTATTAAAGTTAGAAAGGCATTCAGTATTAAATATTACCAAAATAAGTTTGTAAGGAATTAGAGGTTCTCATCTCAGCCAGCTTCAATTGGTCATAACAGTATTAGTAAGGTATTTTTATTTGTTTCTTAAAGAGTTTGATGCACTTCCTTGTCAGTCCACTTTCTTTGCTCTTGTTCACCTTGAGCCAGGCCAGAAACAATCCGCTTGTCTACCACTACTTTCTGAATATGAAATGTGGTATAGTATGTTTTGACTTATGGGATATTTTCTTGGTAGTTGAGAATGTTTTGTTTTGAAGAACGAGGAATAAAATTTCTTTCTCATAGATCTACTGAGAATCTCTTCAAAATATTTTAAGTAGGTATAAGAATCCTTAGCCTGTGAAATAAAAATGGACCTGACTTTGCTGAGTGGTTTCTGTAAGGACTGGTGTCAGTTTATTAAGAGATATCATTAGTTTATTGCATCAAGATTGTTGATGGGCCAGTTTCCCAGAAGATGGAGAGATATTTCCTTCCTTCCTATCCCTCTCCTTTTTATTTATATTAAAGCTTTAATCTGTTTAGGGAATATGGGTAAAGAAGGAAGACATCTGGTAATGTCATTTTCTAGCAAAAGTTGAGAATTTCATCCAAGAAATCTCCCTAGTCCAGTTTTGAACTGCCTGTAGCTCCTCACCAGGAATAGACATTCACAGGAGGGAGTGAAGCCAGATATAAATACTTTGGTCCATATTTTATTCCTTCATGGGGTTTCCTTTAATCATTAATTCAGACACAATTTTCTTGTATTCAGCGCAACCAGTGAGTTGAGAAAACAAATTTTCAAATCTTCACTTATATTCTGCTCTTATAAGATTAAAATTTTTTGCTGGGTATGATGGTGTATTCTTATAGTCCTGGCACTTTGGGAAGCTGAGGCAGGAGGATTGCAAGTTCAAGTCTAGCCTAGGTATTTTAAGATTTAACAAGACTGTGTCTCAAAATTTAACAAAATGGGAGTTGGTGTTTGCTGGGGATATAGCTCAGAATGAAAGCCCTAAATCCATTCCCTGGTATCACAAATAAAAAAAAGATTATAATTTTTAATGTTTAAAGAATTAACTTGAAGGTACAATATTATTTATTGAGAGGCTGTTTCTTGCTCAACTCTAATTTCTCAAGGATTGGATTAATAAAATAAATTATTATGAAACTATAACTATTTCATAAATAAACTATAGTTTTTCATAAACTACAGTTTAGGTCTAGAAAAGGAAGTTCAGAGAAAAATAGATTAAGAAAGGAGGAATATAAGAGTAGGAAGTGAGATGACTATTGCTAATTTGGTTTTGAATTATGTTCTAGGCTTGGTTGAATTATTCCTCAAACTCTGCTATTATATGAGGGATATGGAAACATAATAAAAGCAGCCTCATTGATTGTGTTTACAAAGGAGTTATTGATATCATCAACTATTAATCAGAAAATTCATCACAAATATAAAAATTTAGGGTCTGCAAGAAATTAGGTATAGCCAAAATATAGAGCATATTTTAGTTGTTAAAACTTTATTGGATCCTTTGTAAATAGGGAAGGGTGGAGGGGATGAAGGGAGCACAGGTAATGGGGAAAAAATGAGAAACAAGGTACATCATGTACAGGTACAAACACCCAATGATAAATGTAAATGTATTGTATACCTAATATGTATCAATAAAAGAATTTAAGCAAAAAAACCCTACCTTTATTGGATATAGAAAATACGTATGCTGGATATGAGTATTTTCTTCTTTTACATTATAGTATTCTTTTGCCAGAAGCTACATTAAAGCTCTTTGGAAGATATACTTGGGAACCCATATGGTAAATGACTCAAACATAATTACAACTTTATGTGCCTTAGCCCCACATCTTACCCTAGGTATTACTGTGGTAACCAGGACCAAGTAGACTTTGACTAGTTTCATGCCAGAGAACCTGATAATGTCTTGCTTTGGGCCCATACTACATATTTCTTTCTTCCTTCCCTATAGATCAAGGAGGAGAAATCTGCCCAGCATTCACAGTGTGCTTGAGGTAATGTCCATAGTGTCACCCATGAACAATGAGGGGTGGAATGGAAGGAACCCTTAGAGAAATGTTTTCCTTCTTTTGTATGCAAGGTGATGCATTTCCTAAATATTCTTAGGAGACTGCGGAGAACAGAGTACTGGTTGCCTGTAGTGATGGACAATACAGGCAGGTGCTGCCTAGTTTAAAAAAAAATTTTTTTTTACTTGGAATGGAACTCAGAGCCTTGTGCTTACCATGATAGACAGTACAAAAACATACCTTGCATTTGTTTTCTTTTTTCTTCTTTGTCCTCCATACTCCTTGCTTCCTCCTGCCCTCTGGGATACCCTCCTGCCCTCTGGGATACCCTCCTCCCCAAGTATATTACACAGTTTTGCCTTTAGTTCTGCTTTCTTTGGGTCTTGAAGAGAGGATGATATATTAATAATGATCTTTTTCTATGTCTTATGACACAGGTATTTTATAAACATGCTCTCATTTTGTCTTCACAGAAACCCTATAAAATAAAATAATTTGCCCATTTCATAGCCGAAGAAACTGAGCCTCAAAAGGTTCCACTGATTGGCAGTTGTGAAACAGCTAATGCATGAATCTAGGATTTATATCTTCACTTTCATAGGTACAAAGTTTATTTTTTCACATAGACTTTTTAAAATCAAATTACTTTGGGGCAGACAGTTAATATAAAAGCATGCAAGTATTTGCGTATAAGACAGTAAAGCTTAATGGGATTATGGAAACATGAAGAGTACATAGCAATATCTACCTATATTTAAATTCAATTCATAGAAATAAATCTGAGATAAGTGCAGCCTGAAGATCACCTATTGACTATCTTTGCACTTGATTCTTATTTGGGGGGTACAACTCTCAGAAATTAGTATTTTTCAGTTTTGGAATTGAAATTAAACATATTATTATTTCTCAACATGTGCTTATATTCTGTCACTAAATACTATTCTCACATATAAATAAGGTAGGATGTTAGAAACAGGTAGATCTGGAATTTTGAAAGTTGTAGCTCTAGTCTTCTAAACTACATTGTTTCAACTAGAAGCAGAAAGAAATGCGTTTTCCTTAAGGTCTATTATTGTATGGTAGTTTAGTTTCCAAGTGTCTTTACTACCCTGTACCTTATAATAAAAAAATGTGACTTAAAATAATCCTTCATTTCAATAAGGGATTCAGAATTCTGTGAGTAAAGGGTAGCTATTAAGAAGATAAGAAAAGCAATAACAGTAGGAAAATTGTGTGAATATCTTTTCTTTTTCATGAAGTTCCCAGGGAAGTGCTTTGGTACTTGCACTGTCACTGATGTAGAAAATGACTTAGGAAACTAGGGAATCATACCCTCCTCCACCTTTATTGGGATTCTAAGAACTGTTTATGTTGAGCATGTTATTTGTACTTTACAAAGAGGAACAAGTGGCCACATAGTCCCTGTCTTATACATAGTTGTTATGCTAAACATCTCAGCATATTTTAAGTCTTTCTTTTCAAAAACATTATTCATCCAAATGAATTTAAAGAATTTATCTGTAATGAACATATGCAGACTTTTGCTTGTCATTATTCCACAAGCACTATAGTACAACTATTCACATAGTATTTACTTTGTATTAAATACTATAAGTAATCTAGAGGTGATTTAAAGAATATTGGAGGATATGTACAGATTACATGCAAATACTGTGCCATTTTGTACAAGGTACTTGAGTGTACATGAATTTTGGATCTGTAAAGTATTCTGGAAGCCATTGCCCAGGAATACAGAGAAGCAACTATACTTTACTTGGGAAGGCTTTTTGCAATTCACTAAAACTCTATTTTTTGCTTTACCTGTACTGCCTCCCTCATTTCCATTGTTGCCTAATTCTGAAGGTGTGAGTTGGTGAATACTGGTGTATGAAGCCAATATAGGATATAATAAAGTAAGAGAAGGCAGATTAGTAATTTCTTTCAGGACATATTAAAAATGGCTTCATTAATAAAACACATTAGTAATTCAAAGTGTTACAAGTAGATAGGGCAAAGGTGTCTGTGGAAAAATGAGGCAGGTGTTTCTAGCAGTTTGCAGTATAAATGTGTCATGGAGATTTGAAGTAGTTCAACCCTCATGGGGGATGGATAGAATGGTAAAGTGAAAGGTTTGGGCAAAGTAGTGAGCAGAAGCCTTATTCATCTATGTCCTTGTTCATACATACATCTTATTTTCAGTGCCACAATGTACGTTTTCTTAATGGTGGAAATATATTTTACACCTACTTTAACATTATAGTATCTAGCACAGTGTACTGGGCAGGTTTCTTGTCCGAATCAAAAT